TTCTCTAGGATCTCTAGATAATCTTTTGCAGACCTATTTCACAGATGGAATGAGTGAATCTCTCATCGCCTATTTACTGCACGGAGTTTTGAAGGCACTAGACTACCTGCATCAAATGGGTTATATTCACAGGTAACCTAGGAAAATATGAGCAATGAGAAAAGACTGCATAGCTATCTTCAAAACAGTGAATAGTTCTGAAGTGATTATTAATGATTTCCATATTTTGCAGCTTTTTTAGGTGCATGAAAGTGTCAGTGTAAGACAACTATAGGAGATGTTGACAATAGAACTGTGGAATACATTGGTTTAAACAACGTGAAATACATTTGTTTAAAAAAAAGAGAAAGTGTTTTTATTAACCCCAAAGGGCTTTTACTTCAGCAGACAGCATAAAGAAAACACACAAAAAAAACAATACCCAAACATGAACAAGAGAATCAACTGTTGATCAAGGCTGAACAAAAGAGAACTTGAACCCCCTTTCACATGTCTTTTTAGGAAAGTAAGTACAATGGAATTAGATTCCCCAGTAAAGTAATGAATTTGAGAGTGTACTTCAGCTTTTCAGCAACAGTTAGCGACAACATGAAATATTCCCCTGCGTATTTCAGTACCATTCCTCTCTCTTTCACAGCTGAAAGCCTCAACGAGCCAAAGCCTTATTTTTTTTCTCTTTCCTTCCAACAATAGTGTCAACCTGTATGGATATTTTTGGGCTAGTCTGTTTTAAATGGCAGTGAGTGACCAGTTGCACCATTTCAAAGATATTGTTTTTGTCCTATTGAACTTTCTTGTCAGGAGTGTAAAAGCCAGCCACATCTTGCTGTCTGCTGACGGGCGAGTGTATCTGTCTGGCCTTCACAGTCTCTACAGCATGATGAGAGACGGGAAGAGGTCAAAGTTCGTGTACGAATTTCCACAGCACAGCTCTTCACTACTGCCATGGCTGAGTCCAGAGCTCCTCAGACAGGTGAGACGCACATACCCAAACACATTCAGCTCATATTTCAGACAGGAAGCACTTTTTTTACAAAAAGAGTTGAGGGAGTCTGGAACAAGATCCCCAGCCATGCGTTGCAAAGGGAAGCTCTGTCTTTAAAAGAAAGTCCAGATGAGAACTTTGGATGAATGAGCCACCAGCAACAAATAAGCTTAATGGGCTGAATAACTTTTTTTTTCAGAATCGTTCTTCTGTTGGCACCTCAGCTTTGTCTTTCAAATTGTTTTTCTTTTATAAAGAAACTGATTAAAAAACGTTGTAGAATATCCAGGTGGGATTATTTGAACTTTGTCTGGTGTCATGCTCCATGTATTACATGTTTTGGAAATTATGATTTTTTTTATTTAGCATGCGTTGAAATCCTAGTGCTCTGACAATAAACGCGTTGAGGGTAAAGCAGTTCAAGTAGGTAGCTACATCAGCATGCGTAGGCTGCAAAGGAAAAAGTACAGG